GCAAATTAAGTTTTTTGAACAAGTTATAAAAAAAAGATTTCTATCAAATTTTATTACTTGGATAAATGTATTATTCTAATCCTTCCACTCAGATAACTATCAGTGGAATTATTTCCGCAGTTAATTTTTTTAGCAGAGTCCAACTGCAATTCTTCCCACAAATTTCTAGGATAGTGGGAAAAAAATCACATCTGCATCACATATATTCTAGGATGAAAATGGAGCAAAGAGCATGTAACTACGAAAGCTACAGATAGGTAGAACTTAACTGTGCCTGTCCGGCTCATCATTTAAATAGATCTTCTAACGACCAATTTTAGAACTGTATGTACTGCTTGCAGAGGTTCGTTTATGCATTTGTTTTAAAGAAATTATCTACTTCTACTGGTGCTCCAGACACCTAAGAAGCTATTTACAAAACATGCACAATCCAACCATCAATAAATACAAAGCAGAGCAATGTTCACTCAAGGCATAAAACTAATGCAAATGTAAGGAGTATCTGTTCTAAACTAATCCTTTTAAGCCACAACTGTTAATGGTCTTAGGATAACTCAAAGCCGACAAGGCTTGCCTCTTGTTTCAACAAATGTATGGGTACATTTTCTGTCTAAAGAACCAAGCCTGTTTTTTCCGACAATTAATCCTACAAAAAGTTTTGCTTCTTACTCTTCCCCAATAAAGCATATGGTTTGACTTATCAAGCAGTTCTAAAAATCAAGTTTTCCTGGTTCCAGAAAATTAAAGTTAGGAACAAAATGTTATTATGCAGATGTAAATGTGTCACTAATTTAATTTAATCCATTTAAGAACAGTTAACAGAATAAAAGAACAAGAAAAAAAGAAAAAAGAAAAAGCTGCTGACATTTGTGAAATGCAAGCAACAGTTCACATGCCAATAGGTAAGACCAGGTGCTACATCAAGATGTAACTTTTCATTCTCAAAAGGCCAAAGCAAAATAACTTACCTGTTCTCAATAGAGAATCAAATGGTGGCAGATATATTCCCACACGTCAAGGAGAAAGCAAAATTAGCAATTCACTATTTCAGAAATTCACTGGAAAATGTATTTGCGGAAGTTACAATATCAACATACTAAGCAGATGAACACCACTAAAGGACAGGCTGCAACATTTTATGAAGTGAAGGCCATGTTCAGCATGACTCTAGGTCATAAATTCACCTGTCACATAGCAGGTCCAAGAGAAAACGTCCTCTCTTATAAAATGCAAAGTGATCTATAAGATTTTTTGCACCCTGACATAACAACAGCCAAGAGTTGTAGCTTGCCATTTAAGTAAAACCGACTGGCATTGATGTAGCAGCCTGAAAATTTGGTCGGTCAGTCTCTCTCTCTCTCTCTCTCTCTCTCTTTGCAAGAAAGAAACAGCAATTTAGTTTTTTCTGGTTGGGGAGGAAACGTTTAAAATACATTTACGGCTGGTGAAACTTAGGAAAGATTATTTTTATGATGCCTTAAACAGTACTCTGCTATTCTCCAGTTGTAATTATTTCTTGACTCTATAATCCATTTTACCAAACAGCACCATAACTTCTCTACTCATCCTAATTCTCTATCAGTATTCTTAGCCACCACACTGGCTGATAAAATACACCAGCCAAAGCAAGGTTGACCTCTGGTAATTATATGGATAGGGCCTAATAGGTGTTCAGTGTTCACTATAGAAATGGTTTACCATTACCTACTTTTAGGGCATTTTTCCAACGTTAAAGTACAGCTTACAGCCCTGATGCTCTTCCTTTCAAGCACTAACCAAGTTTGTGCCTGCTTAACTTCATTTGGTAGGCCAGATGACTAGATGCTCCTAGATGCTCTGCCACATATATACACCCGTGTTTTAACTATGTTTTACACCTTGGCACCAAGTTACCTTCAGGCCCATGTTCGTTCACTAGAATCGGCCCAACCAGTTTGATTTTCTTGGGAAAAGCAGTTGCTGGTTTCTCACGTTTGGAAAGTGTGAGAGACTGAGGCTGGGAGGCCTTGCCCTCTGCAATGGCCTTTCTCTGGAGCTTAGGGTAGTTCTGACCTTAGCTGCCTTCTGGAGGACGTTTGGGATGTGACACCTCGTTTTGTGATGGAGGGGAGGGGGGAATCACATGTTTTTAAGATTTTTATTATTTTTAAGTGGATTATTATGCTTCAGTGGCTTCAGTACTCCTGCAAAACCACTGAGAGTCCTGTAAGACTGGCAGGATATAAATGTAATAAACAAACAAACAGGTTTCCGTGCAAGAATCATCTTAGCTCATTATCCTCTGTAGCAAAGACGGAAAGCGATACAGATTAGGAATGAGGAATAGGCCTTATTTCATCAAAGAAGCAGGGAAGCTAACTTTCTACAGCAAAATACTGATCCGAATGCCGACCTATCGTCTAATTTTTGAAAGAGCAGGCTTTGCCCTTTTAGAACTGAAGTAGAAAATGTGTGTAATAAAACAAGACAGAACATGCCGCTCTTGCACTTCATTAGAAAATTGAATTGTAATTGAAATAACAGGAGAGGCTACTGAAGGTTGCAATCCAAAATGACCTAAAACTGCTGCTTCTCAAACCAGGACAGAAGAATTAAAAAGAAAGATCTTTCACCTTCGAAATAAATCACAGGGTGCTCTCTTCTTGAACACTGCTTCTCGTCTTCAGCGTAATCAAGAATCGTGTGTGCTGCAGAGAGGTGAAATGTGAGAAGGAAAAGGCTTGGGAATGACAGTAGAACAGCCTTCGGTCCTGAAACAACCATGATTGAAGATGTGCTGCAGATACAGCATCCAAGCTAGGCCTCTTGAAGATACCTGAAACATTTTAAAAAAAAAAATTAGGGCCTCTTACAAAAATGATACAAATTAAACCTGCTTTACGTCCTGCATGGCCAATTGTCAGGAACATTAACAGTTTGCAGAAATATTCAAACTATCAGCAGAGTAAACATTTAAAAAGGGGCTCAGGATGGGGTAGAAACATTGTGAGCCATCCCTATCTGGAATTTAATGAACAAACAGTTTATTTATCATAGGCACTGCGTTTTGTATTACATTGTTATTTGTGTTTTAGACTCTCTACTTTTTAACCTTATTTACATAAATAGAGTATGTAAGCCACTCAGCATCAGTTCAGATTGGAGCAGCATCCAAGCTGTGCTAACAAATAAATAAAACACAATTAATTTGGGGATGGGGGTGAAATACATTCACTTGTTTCCTGGGCTCACATTCCAAATGTTTACTCATTCTGTCAAAAGTGTGATATTGCTGATAGAATATTCTATTTCCTCCATTTCAAAACTCAGCATTTTGTATCCAGAGAAATACAACACCCTACCCAACGATAGTACATCCATTACTATAACCAGCGCAGTGTAGAATATTTGTAAGATATAGTAATTTCAATTCCAGAAGCACTATCAAATGTGGTTTTCCAGTAAGTGATGAGCAAAACAATTCCCTATTTTAAACCCATTCACTCATCATTTTAAAACAAAAGTGAAGAACTGAAAAACTACCTTGATCAGCAATATCTGCTACTTACAACACTATATTAATGAAAGCTGTTTTTGCAGGAGCAGGCAGAAGAGCGTTGACTTCCACCATTTTTCCCCTCTAGGGCATCTCCTTATGTCATTTTTAGAGGGTACCTAGACGCTTTTCACACAGTATTCAAGATTGCAGAAAAGAGACGAGAATGTTCACTTGATAACTAGAATCCCAGGTTTTTTAGGACACTGCTTTCCATGAAGACCCACTCTAGGGATTAGTGCAATTTACCTCACAAAGTTTACAGAGTTTGTGGGACTAATGCACACAATCAAAGGCCTATGTACAATTATATTTGCTCCGTGCTGTTGAATATTCTGCCCTCACAATAGGGACCCTGCAAGAAGACACCTATGATGGCAATGGCAATTTTAGGAAAGAGAACAAACTCCAGATGACGAGATGCTCCACAGCTGGCTTTGTTCACCAGGGCAATGCACCGTCAGCAGGGAAACTACAGTAAGACTCCCCAGTTTCAAATGAAGGTTGCTAAAACAGCAATGGGTTCTATGAGGAACAAGTTGGCAAACAGGTTTAAAACACGCACCCAAATACCAAAGATGCTAGATAACACTCCAGAAAAAAATAGTCATACAGCAATCAACACCATTCAACCCTCTCACCAGTAATGCCTCAGGCACTACCCAGTGGTCTTTGTGACACATGTACAAGTCTTTGGCATCCAACTCCCACTGCATGAATAGGATGGCTAACTGCAGAAGGCAAAACTGCAGGACAGGAGAAGGAACTCATAGCAGTGTTGCTAATAAACAACGGTGAGAACTGGAAAACATCATCTCTTCTAATGACACCTTGTTCATTACAGAGACAGATCACTCAATCCAGCATCAGCGTCTCACTTATTGTGCCAAACAGAAATGATCTGGAAAGGCATTAAAACTTTTGTTAATGCATACAGACCAGGTTTATACATCAACTAATTAGAATAGGGCTTGTTTTGGTGTTGTAGGAACTATGCCCCATAAATCATAGTTTATAGCTTATCATATTGAGTGAACTCAGTCAACTGTGATTTACTCAAACTATGGTTAAGCAACCCTAGTTTTCCTTAACATGTGATCCCAACCATTATCCAACTTAACAGACTTGCCCTTAGTTAGTTGGGGCCTACGACATTATCTACTGAGCCAGAATGACCAGCAAAACTGATAAATGTGTGTACTATTCAGCTGAATATGGGTTAGTGACAAGGACAAATAGGTTTCTTTGTAAAAGGCAACAAGAAGCGATATTTAGGTGCAACAACCTGTTTCATAGTATATGTTGCAGTTTTACCATGTAGTCCAAACTGCTATTGATTTGTCATTAAAAAAAAAAGAACAAACTGACCCCGGAGAACCTTCATACCACTGTTATAATAATCATCAGTTTGCTTTAAATAGATTTCAAATGAGGGTGGGGAGCAACTCGTGTTGTTCGAATACATTTTGATAAATGAGAGGAAATTCTCCTTGTGAAGGTGTACCGACTCTGAAAGTGGTATCAAAGAAAAAGCCACCAAACAAGGCACCAAAGGAACTCAGTCTGACACTACAGACTACTAAAATTAAGGAAAGGAATCCCTGTGGTTCGAAGTGGGTTGTAAATCAAGGGAAAGCATCTGTAAAATAATGGTGGCATAAAGTAATAACCTATGATCATAAACCACCTTCCTGAAGTTATTCTACTTCTGAACAGTCTAAAAACAAAGCATTTCTCATCAGATCAGGTTCAGCTCTTCTAGTTATGCATTTATGTAGCTTTTCCAGTTACTCTGATCAATATAAAGAAGGAGAAAAGTCAGAAGAAGGGCCAGATAGCCAGATATAAAGGTATATCTATTGCTAATGACCTGAGTTTTTTTTTTCTGTATCAACTATGATCACTTTCTGGTGAGTCACGAGCCAAGCCTACCCTACAAAACCATCACACTCATTTGCAAAGTAGATAAAACATTCCTCTGCCTTATTTTCAAGCATTATTCTCTATCTTTGCAATGCTTGGTCTTCTAGTATTAGAACAGCACCATGAATTTTGGCTTTCAAACACTATTTTGAAGACATATTTCTTCACCCTATTTTTTTAGTCACATGTGCGCTCTTCTTTATTTCCTTTCTTATAATATTCTTCTTGTTTACCTACCCTTCTATTTTTAGAATATCTCTATGGAGAGTAGTCTACTTAATGTTTATTGTATGTGCAAGATTTTCATAACTGCTTTAAGAGGAATAACAGACATCTGAGAGGCAAACACTGTTGAAAGAACTGAAATTAAATGCAGAAGATGTGCCTCTCCTTTGGGGCATTTTGGACAATTTTTAAACATTTTTTAAAGTTGCAATAGGAAAAGTAATCTAGAACCTATCACAAAAACTGGGGCCACATATCATGCTAAGACATAATTGGGTTTGAGCTTAGTATTGTATGAATCCAACTGTGACTTGTTCAACATACCATGATTATAACAAATCTGGCTTAGTGGAATATACCAACCCAGTGACTGTGCAAATTGTATAAAAATTCCCAGAACAATACTCACACTGATTATTCACTTTTAACATGCTTATAATGTTTACTAATAAATAAATGTCCAATTATATCCAAAATTTCAAGTCAGGGAAAACATAAAAGTATGACTCCATTATTATTAAGTACATTTCATATTTTTAAAGCACTAATTATTGCCTTAATTTTCCTTCTTAATCAACAATAGCACTTACATGAATATTATTTCATTAATTTAATTAAGGATTTATTGTTCCTTCTGAAGCAACTTTTAATACTAATTCTTTTAATTATTTATTTTATCTCAGACACAGAATATGTGTATCTCATTTTTTTTAATGTTAGGTTTTATAATCTGCGGCTGTCAAATTTTCTTTATAATTTGTGGTCTTGTACAGTAGTATTCTATACTCTATATAATTTTCCCATTCTCTCTGAAGAGAGTCATTTTCTTTTCCATTTCGTTAACAATATCCAAACTATGTATTAATTAGTACTATCCATCTTAAAAATATAATTACAATAATCTTTAAATGCTACTCATCTATTCAGTCTTTCTAATAAAAGAGCCATACAGTAATGTTCATGGCCAATATATGCCAAATAATTCTTTTCTATAATCACAGTTAGATTAATCTGAAACTGTTTGAATATATCTTTGCAACCCTAACCAAAAATGCTTGGATGCCTAAAGTGTGAACAGCCAGGATCAAATATCCAACCACTTACATTAATTTAATGAGAAAGCGTAGCTTATTTATTTAATACTCACACCATTTTTCAGGCAAACTTCCCAAAACTATTTATATGAAAAGATTAAAAAATAAATATCAGCAAAAGTATATAATAAAACAGACACCATCTGAATCATTAACATTTTTTTTTTAAAGTCTTCTATAAAAAAGTCAAATCTCTTCTCCCTTTAAACCAAGGGCACTCTTAAATCTTTTCCTGAAAAAAAGATTTATAGAAGAGAAAAGCTGTTCCCAGTCTGAACAACAGAAGTTGTTACTTCTCCTCTTCTCTGATTGTCACACCTACCCCAACCAGGACTTCTGTGCTATCATGAGGGCAGGCTAAAAAGAAATATATTGTAAAGGCATACACACATTGGATTCACCTGGGTTACATAAGATATTTGTCCCATGGGGGAACAGGACACATATTTAGCCCCAAGACCGAACTAGTTCTCTAACCCCTGGAGAGTGAGAATTGATCCTTCTTTTCTTATACATACCATGGAAATGTTGCAGAAGTTAACACCTCTGTAAAAGATGGTTGGTTTGCTATCAATATACTTATATGTATTCACTAATCCTACACCAAAATTACACCTTTAGTCATTCTCTCCTATCATGATTTTGAATTGCATCAGGAGACTACTTTTTCTACTTTAATTGGGAAGATTTTTTTTCAGCCAACAAATGCCACTAGGTCCGGTATCTTCAGTATTCTCAAGATTCAAGGACAGCAAACAGCATATCCTAAAGTATCAACTTCAGAAGAACTGGGGACAGTTATAGGAACAATGAGACACTGCTGTTCTGCAGGGCTCCCTGCCAGGACTCTATAGCCCATGTGCTCATTAATAATACAAAAAAGCTAAATAAGTAATATGTTTCTGCTAACCACAATGTTCCCTTCAGGAAGCATTCTTTTAATGAGAAAGAATTCTGCATTCAAAATTAAGTTCGTATTTCCAGATTCAAAACATGAAGATAGGACTGTTTAATTGACTGGTTCAACAGAGCAGTTTC